CGAGTGCAGGTGCTGGGGGCGGAGCGATGTTTGGAGTGCGATGTCTGGCATCCCCTTCCGTCATCAATTGCCACAGTTCCTGAAGTGGTCCGTGTTCTTTGGGCGGCGTGGCTGCCGTGGTGCTTGTGGCTTTTTGTCCAAATGCCCACGGCAGCAACGGCAGTTGTGCCGATGCTTCGCTGCACCGGAACTATCGAAAGCGACAACGTTGATGTGCAACCTGTAGCAGCTATAACAGTGAAGGAATCTCAGCAAGGAACTGCATTGAAGTTCGGATTGTTCCCCCTGTGTTTGCTCCTCCTCCTCGTGGGCGGTGTGGTGCTTCCCTAGCTTCTTACATAGCTGAAGAGCCTTGAAGTAAAAGCTCGATACATCTTTCAATGCAGGAGGCGCTTTCCTGCCGTTGCTTTGTCGGCCTGTTTCACCCGTGCCAGCTTGAGGCTCGGGATGTGGTTGAGTTGAGTTCTGTGGCTGGGCTCACGGGTTCTGGCTCGCTGATCATCTTCAGACTGCGCGTCCGTCTAGAGTCTAGATGTTTTCGTTGCACAACAAGCGGCACTGATGCCCCAGCTGTTTCGGGATGCTCCCCCCTCCCTCTCTGTGGTTTGTATACTTTGGATTGCTGTTTCCAGGCCAACGAACCCAACTCAGATTCCCGAGGTGCTGCCACTGCCAAGCCTAGCCTAGCACAATCAAGAAATGCGTTAGAAACCCATGCAAAGCGAAAAAAGAACATGATGTCACGACTTCTGAGTTGAGCTTGATGGCTTGCCGTGCCCGCCGGTCGGGTAGAGCGCTTCCGACTTCACTAGTTGGATGCCCCGCGCCCAACCCCGTGTGTTCGAGACAGAGAAAACACTTAGAAATCAAGCAGTTGAAGTAGAAATAGCAATCGTCGTCGTCGTCGTCGATGGCGTAGTCGTAGTTGTAGTCGTAGTTGTGGTCGTCGTCCTAGTCGTCGTCGTAGTCGTGGTAGCAGTAGTAGCAGCAGCAGCAGCAGCAGCAGCAGCAGCAGCAGCAGCAGCAGCAGCAGGAGTAGTAGTAGTAGTAGTAGTAGTACTGGTAGTGGTAGTGGTAGTAGTAGGATGGTAGAAGTAGTAGTCGGTCGTAGTAGTACTAATAGTAATAGTAGCAGTACTAGTAGTAGTAGTAGTAGTAGTAGTAGTAGCAGTGGTAGCAGTAGTGGTAGTAGTAGTAGTAGTAGTAGTACTAGTAGTAGTACTAGTAGTAGTAGTAGTAGTAGTAGTGGTGGTGGTGGTGGTAATGGTAGTGGTAGTAGTGGTAGTTTTGTCACCGACCTGGCACGTTGTCGACAGCACCGCAGGGTCTTGACTACTGACGAAAAATTGGGAAAACTGCGAAGGCTAAACAAGGCTTCTACCTACGAGGTCCTACCTGGGCCCAAAGCAGGACCCTCTCTTTTCGAAGCCACAAAAGGGCTGCGGTGCGCAGTGGTTCAACCGTGTTGACTGTACAAAGCAAAGGGGTACAGTAGCGTACAACTCAAGTCCTTGAGTGTTGGGATTAGGGTTTCCTACAGGATCACCCGCACCCCCCTCCAATGCCAAGGGGTTGGCGGAGTTCCCCGCACGGGCGGGGCACACCGCTCAGCGATCACGGACGAAGTGATGCTGACGGCAGTGAAAGCTGATAGGAACGCGCCCACCCGCGGATTTCACCACATGTTGGGAACACGTGTCGTGTGTAGTTGTCCCCTACCACGAGAAAATGAATATTATCCTCGTGCCTCGTTCCAATGATCATCCAGCCCCAACAAATGAGGCAAAGATTCTCGGTGATGATATCTTCCGGTCGGACCGGAGCCAATCCCACACAGTTCCTGTAAAGGTGGACCGTACGTCGCATGGGGGCGTAGTACAACTCACCGAAGTTGCCTTGCGGCGCAGGAGGCAGACGTGGTCCCGGCTGCTGTCGCCGACGCCTGGCCCGTATGATCCCCACATTGAAGTTCTGCGGGCCCCATCGTGAGGTTCCGCCTCGGGAGCCGGTGGTCGAAGGTCTCGCGGGGGCCCTGCCCGCACAGGTGTGCGGAACAGGTCTGCCACCGCTGTGGGCGGCGTTGCCACAGCTGGGGGTTCCTCAGCTGAGGTGGTGGTGTCGGCTTCTTCTTCGGGCGGCGCACAAACCAAAGGAGAACCAACCAGGTTATCAGTCCCAACAGCATGGTTGCCTGAACGGCCCACTGGATAAGTTTCTCTTGTCTTGGCTGTGCCCTCACTCCGAGGATCTGCTGTGCCACGGTGGCACTGGCGATTGCCAAAGAAATTTTAAAAGGACAAACCGGCTTCCACTGACTAGGCGGATTCGCCCGAACAGGCTTCACCGAATGCCTTAATTTCCAAGGTGGAGGTTCCTGCGACCAGGTTGGAGTCAACCATGGCCGGGGATGGCAAAGCTTGCGCGGTTTCGTTGCCAGTCTTTGGGTGTTTTGTCAGGTAGTTCGCCGGATTTTTTGTGCCCTTCACCTTTCGAAGCAAGGCTTTCCTGCCTGCACTGCCCCGTGGACGTTAAACTCAGAGACGTCCAGGTGGCAAAACTTTGTCCCGGGACCAATCCGCTTGGCCCAGTCGAGCGGTCCGACCAGATCCTTGGCACTTCGACCAGAAGGCCAAAGAAGATAGATTCCCTGCAGGCCCTGCTGATGCTTCTCAGCTCTGCGTCCAGGCTGCTCGTAGCTGGCCCTCCTCCTTGGCACCACGATCTTGCCCGATGAGGAACGCAGCCACTATGTCAAAGGTGCGCATCGTGCACCCCTTCTGGAGGGCTGTGATCTCAAGCAGGGCGTGCCTCTCGCGTCGGCGTTGGGACGAAGACTGTTAGGTCTTGCTCTTGCTCTGCCGTGTACGCCCGTTTCACGTCGGCGCACGTGAAGCGGCTCTTGGCCACTCCCTCCTTGACCTTGTCGACCACTTGTAGTGGAACGTCTGAGCTCCCACCGGTTTATCCTTCTTGTGGACCGGCGTCAAGGCCCGCAGTCGCCATAGCTTTCTAAGCTGCTCCAGCCTGCTGGATCTGAGTTGGATCCGGAGTGGAGTCGAGCAACTCCATCACCGAAGCTAGGCGCTGCTGCGTCTGAGCGGGGTCGTCCGCGTTCGCCCAGCTTTCGATCTTCGCCCAAAAGTTCTGGGCCTCCGCCGCTGGGCGGTCGATGCGCTGAGCTTTCTTCGCGGCTCCCTCCATGGGGGCCGGGCTTCCTCCGAAGTCCCCGCTTTTCCGCGCTTTGCGGTTCCTTGCCCCAGCTCCCCTTCACCCAGGCCTGTGGGGTAAGGGGCCGTCTGTGGAGCTGAGGGTGCTGCCGAACTGGCGGCAAAACAACAAGAGGCAACAGCTGCGGCAGAATCAAAAGCTAGCTGCACTAGCGGAAGGGGCACTCGACGATAACGCAAACGTCAACAAATGCTATATTTCATCGAGCGACCCACTTCAAAGCACACACAAGTCACTAGTCTTGCGTGCTTCTTTTTAACTAGCCCCCATGACCTCGGCCATGCCTTTGCCTCGGGCGGTGGGACACCAATTTCCCACGCCGAAATGGACTTCCACAGCTGCCATGCTTCCAGGCCAACCCAAAACCCCACAGCGAGGCTCCACGCCATCAGGCCTTTTGTTCTTGTGACTCGCGCAAGATCCGTAACCACAACCCATACGCGCCTCCGCGATCCAAAATCCCAGAGCGCTACATCTAATGCAGCCGTGGACTCACGTGCAGAAGCCACTATTTCTCAAGTGCACACCTGCATCATAGTGTCATTGGGATCCGACAGGTTGTAGCTGGAAAATGAACCCCCGCGACACATCAACAAAGATGCGATAGATGGCAGTATCATCTGCCCGCGGTACGGGTCACAATGCACCACCCTCCCACGCAACGTCTCAACTGCGCCGCGGCACAGCTAAACGAGAACGTGAGTACAGTGAAGATTTAATTAACCCTTCCAGCTCGTGCACTTTTGGTGGTTGGGCTGTACTGGGCGGGAAAGCAAAAGGGTGCTCGAGCCCCCCGGCTGCATCATCGCACAGTGTTGTGCACTTTCACACCTGGCAGTGTGAACCAACACAACCCATACGCGCCTCCGCGATCCAAAATCCCAGAGCGCTACATCTAATGCAGCCGTGGACTCACGTGCAGAAGCCACTATTTCTCAAGTGCACACCTGCATCATAGTGTCATTGGGATCCGACAGGTTGTAGCTGGAAAATGAACCCCCGCGACACATCAACAAAGATGCGATAGATGGCAGTATCATCTGCCCGCGGTACGGGTCACAATGCACCACCCAACGACGCCCTGCCCCCAACGACGCTTCTGCACGTGAACATGCGCCATGAAATATTGCTAATTAGACTCTTCATGCACCTCTCTCCAAAAAACTGAAGCATCCAACGCATCAGCGGAAACATAGTTGAGGATTGACGCGCTCTTCCACTCTCCCAGCTGCATAATGATATGAGTTGGCTTGCCCTCACGCGCAAGCTGCGTGGCTCGTCCAGCTCGGAATGCTTTAAACCCAAAACCGGAGGCACACGACACACCAATCAACCCCAGAGCCCTGTGCAAACACTTGAGGTAAAAAGAAGCGCCTCGCGGAAAAAGTCTTTGCCCTGGTTCCATGTCCCTCATGCGACGCTGCAGACGATGGGATGCGCACATCATTGAACCACCTAGCATGTCACATGAGCATGGCCGCATAAGCAATGATCCCTCAGGTTTGTTTTTCCTACATCGAAGACGGAGGTGAATATTGCCATCATTGTCCACCACAAGAGCAGAATGCCGTTCAGGAGGCAAGCAACGCAGCTCAACCTCATTACCAACTTCTATAGGAACTCCCTCGGACTGAACTCTCAGAAGGAACTGCCATGCCAGGACGAACAAATCCGCTGCCTCCATAAACTGCTCAAGCTCAGTGCAAAACGCGACCAAGCGGGATACTGTGGTTTGATCCAGCAATAGCGGACTGGACAGTATTCCACATGTTCGCTGCTGCTGCTGCTTCTTCAAGCCTTGCATGGCCAGCTTGACTTCGTCATCCTGCCACTGCAATCCCAGCCCCCAGTATTTGCAGGCCCAAGCAATGCAACCCACGTAGTTTGCCGCCGTGCCAGCGTTTTGGAACAAAGCCAGAAACATGAGCACATGTTTCGAAGATGCTGGAGGCAGAGACTCCTCAGCGCTGTAGCCCAATACCGAAACTGCAAAAGCGTGCCATGCCCTAAGGCCAGACGCCAACGACTTTTTGTCCTTTCGAGACGACTGTTTCAGCTCTTCTGCCCTTCTTTGCAGACTCTGGAGTGCATCTGGTTGATTCGCTGCCCGTGCTATTGCAACCCTCGGGCCGGACTGATCGTTGCCGGAACCAATGGAACAACCAGCTGCCTGCTCGCTGTTGAGGATACACTCTTCCGCCATGGCCTCGGCGGACCGGAGTTGTTTCCGCTCTATGGCCCAGGTCTGTGCCAACCGAGCGCGCTTGCGACACGCCTGCGAAGTGGCAGTGGCAACTGCTTGCTTGAGCAATGTCCTTCCTTTCTCACATTGCCCAAACTTCATAGCTGTCGCAGCAGAAAGCCCATCAAGATGAGATGGATGATGGAATCCCCGTCCGACGAGTTGCATCGCCGCCCGTTGGTGCCATACCGCTAACGTAGCAGTCCCATCAACTTGCACTAACCAGTGCGCCATGTCATAGACCTTGTCCTTGAATTCAGACGGCCTGCAACCACCTAGAGGATGTCGGGCCCGAGAATCACCATTACGTAGCTTTCGCCAGCTGGCGCTAAGCTCATCCCGCCTCTTCTGAATCCCTTCAGGCAAGTCTTTCCATATTTCAGGAGCATCCAGCACGACTCGCACACCGGTTACCGCCACATCATCCCTGTCAAGTTGCATGCGTTCTGCCTGCTTCAACAAGCGAGTCATCTCTTGACCCTGACCCAACACGAAAGCCTCCAAAACCTCTTGTACCCATACGGTGGCTTTCCATCTTGATGATGTCCAAGCATGCTTGCTCGCATCAAGTGTGTTTGGCAAGAGTCCAGAACTGATCATCGCAGGTTGTTGTAGTTGCTGATGCGCGGCCATCCTGCAAGCACACTGACATGGCACGCTCGAACAGAGAAGACCTGTGGCCACGGGCATTCACTGGGCAAGACATGGCAAACGGACAAAGCTGCAAAGCGAAACTGATACACGGCATTCCTGATGCGCGTTTTCGCTCACAGCATCGGCATGCTCCAAAAATGCTGCACCCATGAAGGTAGCCGGGGCTGCATCCATGTGGCTTTCATTCGCTGCAGCACTTCAAGCGAATCTCGTGTTGGCCCATCCGCTGGGTTCGCAGCAGACTCCACACGACCCACATGCAAATCCACTTGAGCTGCAGCCAGGTCAAGCCACAAGTGACCGATGCACGCAAACGATTCTGGACCGCCGCCCCCGCCCTTCATGACAGCATGCAACACACCGTCATTGTCTACGAAAGCCACCCAGCACGTCCGTGCCAACAAATGGCCAAAGGTACCCCAAGCCAACAGCAAGCCTAGAAGCTCCTGAAAACCAATCTGAAAGTCACCCCTATCAAGGAGTTGTTCCCAGATGGCCTCCGGCGTCTTCAAACGAGTCCAAAAGTACTGTCCATGGACCGACACTATTGCAGCGACCCATCTCGTGGCCCCCGCAGCGTCAGACCATGTGACACACTGTGGCGTATCCGTCCTACGGCTTCTACGGACTGAAAACGGACAACGCTCCAGGTATGCCATGAACCAAGTTGCGGACTGCAGCAGCCTGGGCGAAATTGTGTTTGCCGGTGTGGGGGCGTGAGCCTGTGCATAAAACGGCTTGATATAAGCCCTTCCTACTCGACACCCCGACACCGTTACCGCAAAACAAAGCCGGCCGGCAAGCTTGGAGGCATCACCGGGTGATAAGTGTTGCAGATCCAGCATTTCTGCCAGCTGCAGCCTGTACTTGGATGCTTTTTCCGTGTCCACACGTGTGTATAACACCCGTTCGGTGAAACACACGGTACACAAACACCCCAAAACCGTCATAGCCTCGGCGTAATCCGCATCTTTGGATTCATCACATGGGAATCCAAGGATTGAGGCAAGTATGGACAAAATCACTCCGCCAGTGAGTCTCACACCCCTTTTGCTCGCTCCGAAGAAATCATCTACGTAGCGATTCCCAGGAGCCCGGAACCAAACAAGCACAATCAGCAGCAAGAAAAACCCTACGCGGTGCCATGCATACACAGCGGCCACTGTCCCAAAAGGAGATCCTTGATGCTGCGCCACCCACACGGTGCCATCGTGCACCCATACTCCCCACATGAACTCCAAGTGCTCAGGTGCCACAGGGACCCGCCTGAAGGCTTGGGAAACATCACGCATCCATAACCGAACATCACAGGACACATCAAAGAACTGCAGCACCACCTGAGCCAGTGAGTCAAGAGTGTCATGTTTGACTCTGTCCTGGGGAGTCGTGCACAGATTGACTCCGCACTCGGTATAGTGGTCCACTATGCGAGTCCGCCAACCTGATGCCCGCAATTCACGGACAGGAATCCTACGAGTCAGGGTGATTTGCTCTAAGTCATCCTCTCGCAGTGGTCGAGGCAAGGTCATTGCCCCCAGCATGTGGTCCTTCTGCACTTGTGGTCCAATATCTTCACTAAAAGGCACCTCTTTAAGGAGATGAAGGACCCTACGATTCATGACCTCCCGTTGATCCCGCAACTGCTGGATTGATCCGGACTCCTGAAAGTGAGCCGGGACTGCTCCCCCTTCACAGGGTGGCAATCGGCCGACCATCGGAAAGCCTTGCTGCAAGGATCTCAGGAACCCATGGGACTCGACCGGCAGTTCCGCCAGCAAAGCGTGCCACAGCGGGCCATGAATCAAGGAAACAAGTGGCCTGATTTGTTCAGGAGCTTCCTGGGCCCAGCATTTCTGCTCCCCAGTCAAGCTTGCCGCAAGGTGCACGACTCTCCTAAGGACTGTCCCTCTAAAATCATCAATGTCCTGAGCAGAGTGACTGATTTCAAATTTCAAAGCTTCTTCCAGAGGCTCTGAAAACACCGACGGCTCCAGAGATGGGTGACGCACCTGGCGGGCAAACTCAACATGCAGCTCCGGTGACAAGCCGAGCGGCGCCCCTAGCCCATAAGGGACCAAGAAGGGGCCCATGGAAGGTACCACGTCTGTGAATGCCTGCGCTTCGCGCACCTCAGCTGGCAGCTCGGATCCTGAGCCGGGTGAAGCTCCGGACGGCATCAACCACGAATCTCTAAGCAAGCTCGCGAGCCTTATGCACAAAAGTGGCGGGTATGTTTGAGCCAAGTGTGTTCTAAACACACTTTGCCCACGGTAAGACACCTGGCCCCTCAGAACAGTCAGCTTACCAGGCCACGGGAAAACACTTTGACGGAGTTTGTGCCATAGTGCCACATTGTGAAGAAACACTGTTGGCTTAGCGAAGGGGACCAAAAAGTCTGCGAATCGCACTTGCAGGATCTGAACCCCAGGCAACGCTTGGATAATCCTCATTGGCTGCAACACCCACAACCAAGAGTGAGCTGGGTTCTCAATGCTGAAGGTCGACCCAGCCGACCACAAACACGCGCACATGTTCGCAGTAAAAACGGCAAGAGCATTACCCAGTCTCACTAATTCCTCTTGGTGCGGCATCAAATCTGGCAAACCCCACGGATGCTTCGCATCGCGTAGCTGCGGTTCCCTCGCAAATGTCATTGACTGGCACGGCGTTCCAAAGTGCCCGTGCTTTATTGATCCTGACTTCGCCGCAGTGAGCCATCTGTCACCGTCAATCGTTACATCACACTGAGGGCCGTACCGGACATCCACTGGTTTGGCACAAGGCAGACCATGTAGCATCACACTCATGGTGAACACCGCATCACCGGCAAAGCACTCGAGGAATATCGGGTCGGTTGCACCAGCATCGGGCAACTCATCGAACAATGTCGGCATTCCAGCAAAGTCCGGATGGACCCCAGTGTCTCCTCAGTTCCGGCGCTCATGCCATCCCCAGCCTTTGCCATCACGATCCTCCTTACGGTCAGCTTGGGCCCTTTTTCGAGCCTGGCCTTTTGCGAACCATGCTTGAGCTTTCAAGTGTCTCTTGCTGGGCGTGAGGCTGGTTGGAGTGCCTTTCCGACCATCACCTTTGCCGTCAGCAGCAGCAGCCCGACCCTTTTCCAAAATGAGCTGCTGAGTCTCAACCAACTGCTTGGATACCATTTCTGCCTGTTTTCGCGCAGCTTCTGAGACAGCAGTTTGTTTGTTGATGAGGGCCTCAGCCGTCATCGAGACCTTTGCATTCAACGTGCCTGGCTCTGATGCTCCCTCCATGCCGGCATCCTTCAAGACATCTGCCAGTCTGTGTCGTGCTATGTCCAAGATATCCTTGTCCACACGTTGAATTTCCTGGCTTATCTTGAGGTCAGGATCTCTTTTCTCGGCCCTGCGTGCAAAGCTTTTCCTCACAATCTCCTCGTAGACAAAAGCCAGGTACGGCGGCCGACCTTTCAGCCGTTCTTGCTCTGCCAGCTGCATGACAATGTCAGCGTGTGATAGCACATCTGGCCACGTCAACTGCTTCGTAGCCACAGCCACAATGGCATATCGCATGAATGCCCCGTTCCACTGCGCTACCGATCTGAAGAACCTCGTCGACGCTGTTGCACTTTTCAACGCCCGTCCAAGTTCTTGCAAGTTTGTGATGCTCTGACCACCCTGGAGGGCCCATTCCTGGTCATCTCGCAAATGAAATTTGCCCCCTATCTGATCTGGTGTCAGCCACATTGGCAGACAGTGTGCAGCTGTGAGGTCCACGAACAGGAACGGTGTCTTGTTGGCGACACGGGCCTCGTCACTGTGGGCCTGCATAGCGCTCCACAAGCCTTGCTCTGCTTGCAAGCTGAAAGACACTCCTTTCAAGGATGCGTTGTCCAGCAGGTTTGCTACATCGGCCGTCTTGGCAGGTGCCAACAAGTTCGCCAAACCCCCAGCTGAAGCATTAGCAACTGCACTTGGAACAGCCGCTGGCAGCTGTGCTACTTGCAACCTTTTGGCTTTACTTACGGACTCCACTGCTCTCATGACTCTTCGACAGCATGCCTGTACGACGATGTCAGATGGCAGCAACGATTCAACAGAGGCTTCCGTGAAGCCTTCAGCCAACGACGGTTTGCTCGCCTTCAGCTTCTCTGTGAACCATTGGACGGCCGCCTCCACCACGACATCACCGGGCGACTCCTCCTCCACCGATTTTATGAAGGAGGGCCAGTCCATGGCTCACCC